TAATAATTCGATAACGCGTATTTTTTCATGTTGTTAACTTGATTTCTGAGTTTTCGATATTTAGCCCTATCAGCTTCATTTTTCGTTTTTCTTGCTATTTTATGTAGTCTGTTGCGTATTATTATATGTTTTCTAAGAACCGAGTCAAACCACGGTTTGTCCTTAGGACGAATAGTGACGGACTTTTCTGGAACACATTTTCGTACAGACGATAAGAAATGAGTAGTAAAGTTTTCCGTGGCAGTGTCGACATCTTGGGCGTTGTTTATTAAATTGTCCCAATCGCAGTCGTTAATTAAGGAATTAAGTTTCTCGAAATCCGCTTCTTTATACAGCCATACATTGCGCTTGTACGCATGATTAATTTTGTAGTTCAAGGTAAGACACACATAAGTTGCTCTATGGTCGCTAAGATTCGCGCTTACATTTAAAGTTCCCGACTCTGTTACGTCTACGCTTTGCGTAGTAAATATTGGGTCAATAAGTGTTCGAGAGGAATTCGTGATTCTCGTTGGCTCGCTGATTCTGTTGATAAGATTACAATTGGATATTATATCATATATGATGTGTGTGTGAGGAGTGCTTAGAAGATCAACATTTATATCGCCAACAATTATGATTTTGTCAGAAAGCTCACCTATTTTGTCTAAAGACCATGAAAAGTTTCTCCAAAAAGTGGAATCTGCGTTCGGAGGACGGTAAACACAACATAAGAAAAGTTGAGAGGTAGGATTATCAATTTCTAACAAGATAGCTTCAATATTGACAGGTTCAAGATCCATTCGTCTGTGAGCTCGAATATTGTTACTTGTGTAAATAACGACTCCGCCTCCGAAAGAGTTTCGATCTTTGCGAAAAATACAATTAAAACCGTCTAAATAAATATCACTATTCAAAATGTTGTCGTCGAGATGCGTTTCAGTAAAGCACACAATATCAAATTCATTTACTATGGCTTTAAGTGAGTCAATTTTGTTCCTGAGACTTCTAATATTTAGGTGTAAAATGTCAAGGACATTGTCATAAATAGGGCCTGGATTTGTTTCTATATCACCAGATATTAACAAAATAAAAGCAAAAAATTGCATGAAAAAAGTTATGTGTATAGGCAGAATTTTACCAACATAAAAACTTTTCAAAAGACATTTTCGAGTCACTTGTTGGAATAAGTTCAAAATATCACACAGTGTAAGAAAAACAAACATTGACGAGCAAGTTACACACCTACACACAAAGTAAAAAGTTCCAATTGCGGCTCTATATTGCTCTATGCTGTTACCCATTGTCTATAATGTCAGGTCTAAGGACATTGAATTTGCCGCAAAACGGAAAATTATGTAAAAAATGTACACGATATGCATAAGGTCTAAGAGTTGGTTTTGTTTGTTTGTAATAACTGTGTTGACAGTTGTAGATATATAAAACTGTGGATGTGTTAAAAACAGAAAATTGGAAACAAATAAACAGCATTTCACATACAAACAGAAAAAATATGAACAAAAACAAAAGAAAATCTACAATACAAATTTGTTTGGGAAGCGACTCATCTACAAGTGAGTTCCCAAACAATACATGACAATATATCAGGATATAAGACAACGTAATGACATGCAACATTCAAAACTGATATAATTATGTACAAGGGTCCGTAATAAGTGAATTATATACTTTAAATTAACTGGGATTGATTTAGCTATATCTGTGAATTGCCCACATATATCTGTAATTGCACTGATGAAATGTTTAATTTTGTGATAAAGCGGGTTGATGGTTGATACATATCTAGGAATTGGCTGTATCGGCGGCTCTTGTGCTGTCCACCGGTTCGTCTTTATTATTTTTTACAACGTCGGAGAACGAGTTACGTTTGGTTTGATCACTGATAGCTGGTTCGCTTGTTTCGTCCGTGTTTGTTTCACAGTCACTGTTCACTTGTTCGTTAGTGTTAAGTGCGTCTAGGTCATCTTGTGACCTAATAGTCACTCTTTTGTCATCGTTTGTTTTGATGTAAATTTTGCCGTCTGTGGTCCAGCATCCCTTTACTATCTGGTTTCGCAGCGCCTGTCTAGCTTTGGCATATAGGATTGCACGCCGCTGAGTAAGGGCTTCATTGATATAAATTTTGTAACCATTGTCTTGATTTGTGTTGAACCCTTTAAGGTTGGATTTGTTTTTGTAAATTGTAGCTTTGTCATTATACCGTACAAACCGAACTATGATATCCCTCGGTCTATCCTGGCGTGGTGGGCCAAGTCGGTGGGAGGTACTGATTGCAAATTTGTCCAGTTTCTCGACACCTACCGGTAGAACTAATTTATTTGTTATGTTTAAAATGATCTCATCTGTGTTTTCATTGTCTCTCTCCGGAATTCCGGAAAATTTTAAACAGGTTTTTCTGGAATATTGTTCCAAATCATCGAGACGAGATTCTAGATCTGTAGTTTTAGCCTTAAGTTCTCTAACTTCGGTTGATAATTCCTTGAGAATACAATTTTTTATTTCGGGTTTGTCCAGTATAATGCTTGTGGCCTGTTTAAGTAGTTCTTTGTTACCAGATAGATTGTCTAAAAGGTTACTGAGCTCAACCAGGTCTTGTGAAAGATCAGAATCTGAATTTGAACTAGGTCTGAATCTTTTCGATGACTTAGGTTTATGTGATGACCCTTGAGTAGAGAACAGGATAGAAGCGGAAGGATCAGAATGAACATTTGATGATTTGTTACCTCTGTTACCTCTATTGCCTCTGTTTGAGCTTTTATTTGTTGAATAGCCTCTTCCACCCATCATTAATTTTCATAAGATACACACAGATTAAACATAGAATCACACAGTCACAAATAGATTTGGGTTTGCTAACAATACACAAGTAAACTCGTTTGTATTTGTAAGCGATGATGCCGTTTGTACTTGTAGTGAACTGTACTCAACGGTGACCGTTGACCATCTCAACAACATTTAGGCTTTAAAATACAAGTTTTAGCATCTGTGCCTTGACTTTTCTGATCATATACAGTTACAAGATACATTTGTTACCTGTGATACTGATTCACTATGTGATCCATGATTTTCCTTTTGAAAAATTCACATATTTTACGGACCGACAAAAACTGTCGCCTACACCATGTCGTCACGTGACAAAAATCAATCAATATGGATAAAACAGATGTTATGATTTTTTCAAGAAAAACAGATGATGAAACATCATTTAGATTTTATTACAATCACCAAATGATTAACATAATGAATGAATATAAATATTTGGGTGTTGTGTTCAGATCTGATGGAAAAATGAAATTTGCAGCTGAACAACTATCAGAACGTGCTAGGAAAGCATATTATGCTATTAAATCAAATTTTCCTGCAAACATTAATTTTTCAGCTGAAATTATGTTAAAATTATACCAGTCAATGATAATACCAATTATTACATATGGATCTGAAGTATGGATAACTGACTTCAAATGTGATTTAATGTCTTCAGACCAATTTCCTTTTGAAAAAACACAACACTTAATATTTAAAGACATACTAGGGGTACATAGAAAGGCATCAAATCTTGCTGTTTTATGTGAATTGGGTCGTTTTCCTTTGTACTATTTATGTTATGAATATATGTTTAAATATTTTAAGAGACTTAAGGAAATGGAAAACAAACATGATTATAATAATTATTTAGTGATTTCTGCATTTAAAGAAGACAAAAAACTTGTATCTAGAATATCTTGGCAAAGAAAACTGTCTTCATTACTACAAAAATTAAATATCACTTCTTTGGATATTTCTCACACAACCTTGAAAAACAAATTACAAGAGCATTACCAAAACAAGATACATGAACAACTGAAAAATATAAGCAAATCAAACTCTGGAAAGTTAGCTTTTTATAGTAAAATTGTAATTCAAAATGAATACAAATTGCAAAGTTATTTAAAGCTGCCTTTAAAGAAAAGTTTTAGATCTGTATTAACAAAATTAAGGATCAGTGCCCATCCATTGTATATTGAAACGGGCAGATACTGTAAACCCCCTATTCCTAGAGAAAAACGTTTATGCTATTCATGTAAATTATTTATTGAAGATGAAAAACATTTTGTTCTATACTGTTCAAAGTATGACCAATTTAGATGCAATTATACTGATATATTTAGTGTAAACACATATACTAGTGATAATCCCATTAGAAAAATTGTCAATCCTACAAATATTACAACTGCTAGAAGGATATGTTGTTTTTTGAAAAAGTGCTTTGACACCAGAAAAGAAAGTCAGCAATGAATACTTAGAAATATGTGAATATACTCTACATTATTTTGTTCAACTCACATTTTTCATTTTGTATATGTATGTATTATTCTTGTTAATTCGTTTTATGTCATGACTGTATGCCGACATGGTAATTGTCAATAAAGTGAATTGAATTGAATTATTATGACTGGCCAGAAATTATTTTTTACCTACTTTATATCCTTTAACACTGTGAGAGAATTTCACTTTTATTCAATAAATAAATCACAGAATTTCACTGTTGAAAATGTAATAAATAAGTAAACACATGTACATTCGAAGTTTGAATCCTATATTTGTTCCAGTTCGCACTTTTTTGAGTTTTTAATACATGTCGGAATAAGGTGAGTGATGTATGTCTATGCCTTTCAGCATATCAAATATTTAGGTTTTATAATGGAATTCTTTCTATGAATGATATCGTTCATGCCTTTTTCTAAGTGTGTTGAAGTCCCCCCCCCCCCAAAATTCCCACCTGCCTACCTACCAAATTTTTTTCACCTTGAGTGGGGATGGGGCAAATAAACATCAATTTAAAGATAGCCCCGGGATCACAGATTTCATCCTCAGATATAACCCCCAGCCCCTCCCCCAATCTCTTTTATTCCTTGATGAGACTTACAGGACAGAATCAGCTGCCAGTGGCTCTGTTGTGTTAGGCTCTGACATTGTTTTACATCTATGACAATTACTGAGTATAAACTATTAATACTTACAGGCTACAATCTATCAGTGGCTCTCTATATGAAGTGTTTGGCCCTGTGCCTCCTTTATCTCTGTGACAAGTACTGTATTTTGTTACCAATTCCTGTGTGTGTTCATCATACTCGTATCTAAAAACAAGTCAAAAATTAACAAGTTATTCATTTCAGCTGACACCGAACCAACAAGCATCATCGATCGTGACGTAAATTTTATTGCTTCTTTTAAGGAGAAAATCCCTCACTAACTGCAGGGACATTACTGCTACAAATCGAATTTAATTATATATCAAAACAATAAAACACAGTTAAAGCAAACATGCTTATAATGAATTCATGCTTACAACAAAGTGATTTTCATTCCTAAAGTATTTTGAAATAGGCCTTCTGCATGGCACAGTGGTTAGATCATTTACTCTAGAGTCAGGGAGTAAGGGGTTGATCCTTACGTTACGTTACCCCACTGTGGGACATAGAAACCGGTTGGATGAAACCCTAGGGTTTATTAAGTGAGGTCCTGTGTCCCAGTAGGTGCTCCCTCACTGCTCAAATGCCAAGTTCCAAATACATGTCTAAATTTGCAGCCCTCCATCAAAATGCAGTACTGTAGCTCTCTGGTTGAGAAAATTCGGACCGACAAACCCAGAGAGCTACAGATGCAAGCATTGTTAAAAACCTCTGCAGCTATCCTCCACCAGCAAGTGGTGGCGTTTCAATATGAGTGAAAATTCTCGAATGGACGTTAAACAACACAAACAAAAACAACCATTTATCTGTTTAACATGTTTAAGATGCACTGACCTGTCAAGCAGATACCCAGCCAGTTCGTGGTTATACATAAAACCAAGCTGTTCCTTCAGGCGATTCCACCTTGACATGTGTTCTGCTATGTACACTCGCCCCTTGGCTCTTTCCATGTCAATTCGCATTTGATATTCTTTTTTTCTTGCTTTTCTTTGTTCGGGTGTGAATTTAAGAGGCCTTCCTCGCTTTCTCTTGGGAACCGACGCCATTTTTGTTTATGTTCTAAAATTAGCTGGTCGTATCACGTGACACTGTAACAAAAAGAAGAAGGGCGGCTTTATTCAAAAGTGGGCCCCTGTTTACTTTCATCTTTACTTATTCATTTAGATTATTCAGCATTCTCTAACCAGATTGTTGTTCCCATTAAGCTCCCATACACAAGGAGCATAGCAGAAGACAACTCTGGATAGAGAATGGATTATCCGCAGATTTAGATTTAATTCCTACAGATTATAAATGCTTTTAAAAATCGATTTTGGAGAATCTGTTTAAAAAAAAAGCTCGTTTTGATTCATAAACTACATGTATATAATTGGAATTCTTACCATTTTTCAGCAATACATTTATTCCGTTATAAATTTACCTTAGAGAGAGAAAAAAGTATTTATACTTAAATTACGGAATAAATGGTAACGTCACATTCTAGCAATTTAGGAGACCCCCTTTTCAATGAATTTTTATTGAAAAAGATTAGATAAAGCTCATATATTAGAGAGGTTAAGCAGATGACCGTGTACGTGTAACTATTGAAATCTCCTAATTTCCTGCGATTTACGTCATCAGTTTTGCATACCGCGTAATTCTACAAGTTGTACACAACGTGTTGATTCACAAGTACACGGAGGGAAGAACGTGTAGCTTCATAAACTCAAATTATGGAATATATTATATTTTTCAGGTGGTGTTTGTTGTGATGTTGAGAGTTTATTACGTACATCTATTTTTCTTTTATAATCAAAGTCATATAATTATTTGATAAAAATGGATTGTAAAGTGACTTCTTGAAATGACGTTTTACACGTACCGCTACACGTACAGTTTGTTAAACAGAGCACCATGCTAGTTACGCGTACTTGTAAAAACACTTCTAGGTTTACACGTACACGTAGACGCACGCGGTCAAATGCTTAACCTCTCTAATAAATGAATTTTAACGTCAGTTACGTCAAAAATTTTTAGCATCGCGAAGCTACTAACAGGACCCCCCCACCCCCCGGAATTTGTAGAGTTATAATATGTATGTACTGAATCGAATGAAAAAGACTTTAGACTCCCCTTGAAAACATGTGAACACCACCATGAAATAGGCTTTTTTCACGTTTGGGAATGAACTTTCCATTTTTTTTTTATGCATACAAGAAATTTTGCTTGTTTTTGTGGATTTGTTACGTTTGAGAAAGATTTTTTGTTTTTGTTTTTGTTTTTTTTTTGCTTGTCAGGAAATTTTCGGGGATGGAAATTTTTTTGACTGGGGTGGACCCCCCCCCCCCCCCCGGAAAAAAATTCCTGGATCCGCGCCTGTTTTTTTTTTTTCTTCCACATAGATATAAAGTCACTGAAAGATAGTGCTTGTTAAATTAGCATGGAAATCAATATAATATACTTATTTAGGAAAGGAGAGAATATGACAACATTTGTTCAATGCTGAAACTTATCTTGCCTTTTCTTTACACTGAATATTTAGGACTCGCTACATTTGGATTTTCCATATGTTAACAGACATCTGGATTCTCATACAAACGTGGTATATCTGGATTCTATTACATGTACTTCATGATTTTGGTATGTTACATGTGAGATTTCTCTCTATATATTCATGCACTCTATATTCTAGACATGTTAGATCTGGAATTAACTAGACACTTTTTATTCTAGACATATAACATCTGGAATTACTATACACTTTTTTATTCTAGACATGTAGTATCTGGAATTTAATTAACTATACACTTTTTATTCTAGACATGTATTACTGGAATTAACTATACACTTTTTATTCTGGACATGTAACATCCACATTTGCATTCACCTGAATTTTCTATAATCTGTATTCTGAACGTTACATCTGAATTTTTACTCCCAGTGGGCTCGGTGAATTTTGTACTGACTCCTCGGGTGACTAAATCATCGTATTGAACTCATAAACAGCAATTGTATCTACTCCGTCTATGCTCTACATTTGTCAATAAAATTATATTTAAAAGAGAAATGTAAATTTATTGTTTTGATGATGGTGACTATGCATAATGAACTCTGAGAAAACTTCTCTATCGGGTAAGAAGAATTTTAGTGAAAGACAAAGTTAGTGAATTGTTCTTGAAATCGTTTCATAATTTTAGCAATACACAATCTGAGCAATTTCTAGAATACCAAGAAAGATAATTATTTCTTCCGTTTTGGATTCTTAATATATATATTTTTTTTGCAAGGAGAGATTAATTCAGAGAGGGGGGGGGGGGAATACTGTAATTTTGAAATTTTAAAATTTCATTGTATTTTTGGCATGAATAGCCCTATATTCTATCCAACTGAATTCTGATTATAATTAGCAGCCCCACATCCCAGACAGAATAGGAAAAGATATACATCTAAATCTAATAGATTTTGGGCATTAAATTATATGCCAAAAATTAAGATTCAGCAGGCAAAAAGCTCAGTGTATCGAACAATAAATGAAAATAATCCTTTGCAATATACCTGTACGTTATCAAGGACTTACGCTAAACTCATTTTGATAACATAAAAAGAGACCCAATAAATTTAAAGCTACTGGATCGGAACATGACCTCCATATGAAAAGAACAGAGGGCAATCCCGCTCTGAGAAAATACATTTCTCAACTCCAAAAATTCATGAAAAGTTATATTTTTCAAAAATTGTATTGCCAATATCTTTTGTTTTTAGGGTATGTGAAAAGTAAAAAAAAAGAAAGAAAAAAAAACTAGATATATGTCCATAGGACATGAACGCCCCGCCGAGGGTATATTAGTAATGCAATATGAAAATTTGTATTAGTGTATGAAATTTGATGAGAATATCTTGAATAATTTCTTTAAAATCGAAATTGAAATCTAAAAAGTTTGATATAGATGATAAATTCTCACCAAATTATGTATAAGTGCATAAGCTTACATAAATATATCTTAAATGGTTTCTTTAAAATTAAGCAAAATGCAAATTTAAGAAAAGTGAGGTCAAGGTCCCAGAAAAGTTCAAGGTCAAATGTTTTTGATGCAGTTGAATAGTTCTCATAAATACGTATCAGCATATTAAGTTTGATAAAAATATTTTGAATGGTTTATTTAAAACTGAGATAAACACTAATTTAAAATAAATGAAGTTAAGGTCAAAGGAAAGGTCAAGGTAAAAAATGTTGATGCAGTTGAAAAAGTTACATCAGTATGTATCAGCATATGAAGTTTGATAAAAATATTATGAATGGTCTCTATAAAACTGAGTTAAACACAAATTGAGAAAAGTGAGGTCAAGGTCAAAGGAAAGGTCAAGGTGAAAAAATATTGATGCAGTTGAATAGCTTACATCAGTATGGATCAGCATATGAAGTTTGACACTAATTTAAGAAAAGTGAGGTCAAGGTCAAAGAAAAGGTCAAGGTCAAAAATAATTGATGCAGTTGAAAAGGTTACATCAGTATGTATTAACATATGAAGTTTGATAAAAATATTATGAATGGTTTCTTTAAAGCTGAGCTAAACAATAATTTAAGAAAAAAAGTGAGGTCAAGGTCAAATGAAAGGATAAGGTCAAAAAATATTGATGCAGTTGAATAGCTCTCATCAGTATGTATCAGCATATGAAGTTTGACACTAATTTAAGAAAAGTGAGGTCAAAGTCAAAGGAAAGGTCAAACTAGAAATATGTCCATAGGATATGAATGCCCCGCAGAGGGTATCTTAGTAATGCAATATTTTAACACAAAGTGAGAAAAGAAAGGTCAAGGTCAAAGGAAAGGTCAAAGTGAAAAAATATTGATGCAGTTGAATAGCTTACATCTGTATGTATCAGCATATGAAGTTTGACACTAATTTAAGAAAAGTGAGGTCAAGGTCAAAGGAAAGGTCAAGGTCAAAAAATGTTGATGCGATTGAATAGCTCTCATCAGTATATATCAGCATGTGAAGTTTGATAACACTATCTTGAATGGTATCTTTCAAACTGAGCTAAAAACTTATTTAAGAAAAGTGAGGTCAAGGTCAAAGAAAGGCCAAGGTCAAAAATATTGATGCAGTTGAATAGCTTACATCAGTATGTATCAACATATGAAGTTTGATTACACTATTTTGAATGGTATCTTTAAAACTGAGCTAAATGCTAATTTAAGAAAAGTGAGGTCAAGGTCAAAGGAAAGGTCAAGGTCAAAAAATGTTGATGCAGTTGCATAGCTCTCATCAATATCTATCAGCATATGAAGTTTGATAAAAATATCTTGGATAGTTTCTTTGAAACTGAGCTTTGAACAGAGCTAAACGCAAAGTGTGATGGAAGGAGAGACGGAAGGACAGAAGGACGAAAGACGGACATGACAAACACTATATGCCCTGGCCATATTCATGGCGGGGCATAAAAATGTTGATGCGGTTGAATAGCTCTCATAAGTATGTATCAGCATATTAAGTTTGATAACACTATCTTGAATGGTATCTTTAAAACTGAGCTAAAAACTTATTTAAGAAAAATGAGGTCAAGGTCAAAGGAAAGGTCAAGGTAAAACATATTGATGCAGTTGAATAGCTCTCATCAGAATGTATCAGCATATGAAGTTTGTTAAAAAATATCTTGAATGGTTTCCTTAAAACTGAGCTAACACTAATTTAAGGAAAGTGAGGTCAAGGTCAAAAGAAAGGTCAAGGTCAAAAACTGTTGATGCAGTTGCATAGCTCTCATCAATATCTATAAGCATATGAAGTTTGATAAAAATATCTTGGATAGTTTCTTTGAAACTGAGCTTTGAACAGAGTGAAACGCAAAGTGTGATGGAAGGACAGAAGGATGGAAGATGGACATGACAAACACTATATGCCCCAGCCATATTCATGGCGGGGCATAAAAAATCACACAGGATTCAAACACAGGCACGTGAAAAATGGATGGTGTAATCCTCCCCCCCCCCCTTCCAGCTTCTGAGAATTTTTATTAAGACACAACAACTTATCAAAAACACATGAAATCCTAGCCTATCATACCTATATTTCGATATCTGATATCGTTTTCTGCTTTTATTATTTCAGATTTTAAGAGATATATATGATAAAGAAAAAAAAATAAGGCCAAATAAAAAAATATGTGTGGTTCCGGTTACACCTCCCAAAAAATTAGGGTAGGTAGGTAGAGAATTTTTTTTTTACAAAATGATTTTTTTTAAATTTTTCTAAATAATACCTATCACTGCTTTGCAAGTGGCATTTAGATGTGGTGTGATAATATACTAGTCAATATTGGTAAGGGACACCTACTTGCTAGCTTGCTTTGGATTTAACACTATTAAACACTTGCACTATGTTTTGCAAGGAGGCCGTCATTGCTGAAACTAAAACTTAAACCGAAGCTATTGATGGAAATCGGGGAAAATTCCGGAAAAAATATGAAAATTGCCAAAAAAAAAGTTTAGGGACGGTCAGGTAACCGGAACCACACATATTTTTTTATTTGGCCTAATGGAAATTCAAAATTTAAAGATGAAGAATTGCATTGAGTACTTATAACAAAGTGAAGTGTAGAGATAGAATGACTTTATTATCCAATTTGAATCAGAATTAAGTATGCAATTCCTTAAATACAAACCTTCAATATCAAAAATCACTTGCAAACAGAGGAACTCATTCATGATCATATGTGACAGAGAAAGATTAAGCTCTAAATTTTCTGCAGCAAGCAATATAATTAATCCCTGGGGGCTCAAGGATGAAATGGAAGATGTATATATATATATATATTTTCCCATTATCTCTACCAGAATGACAGACAGCTAGATGGACAGACAGAGTGATTACTACATGCCACCCACAAATTCTTGTGGGGCCCAAATGAAATTTTATTATTAATGGCTAGGTATTCACTTACATGCACTGTTTGAGAAATGATTTGAAAACTTGTGCCATTTATTATTTATTAAAAACATAGAGTTAAAAAAAATTGAAAATATATATACTGCAGAATTAACACAAAATAAATACTAATTAACCATTTAGCTATTCAAACGAGCGATTTGCCCGGCTGATTACAGTTTCCCTTTGTTTATTCGACTAATCCTTCACATTCCACCTTCACTTCCATAATTTAATGGTGCCCAACCAGGTAGAAGTTCTCTCATGGATAATTCTACTGGTCTTTCTTCGGTCTACATTTTATTTCCTTTCTATTTTGTAAAAGTTTTCTTTTGAGTCCTTATCCCTCTTGGATTTCTTTTTGCGAGGTTTGTCTTCACTATCAGACCCTGAAGATTCTCCTGATCTGGAAGTGTACTCCTTGTTTTTATAATTAGTTCCCTGCCCTCCCTGTCTCTCTGATTCTGATTTACAGGGGACCATCTTGGGACTCTTTCTCTTCCTGCAATGTACGTGCAATTAAATTGTGTAAAAAAAAAAATCCTATATGGGAACAGTCTCTATATGATTTGTTAAAATATAATATTGATATAAAAAAATTTATCTTTGTTACTTAATTTAGTGATATCCTTGACTCTCTGAGAGTTACTTATTTTAGTGATTTTCTTGATTAATTGAGAGTGGCTTTCTTTAGTGATTTTTTTTTATTACAGTAGATCACTATATTTTCATGACACCTTATTTACGCGAGATATCTATTTGTTATTAATAAGCAAGACAAAATTTTTGCAAGCTGTGGTTTCAATTGTATATAATCCTTTACATTATAAATATATGCGAGAATAAAATATTCGCGAGCAAAGTTCTTGCAAATAAAAAATGATTCACTGATCATTCACAGTAACTAAGAGTGATGTATGTTAATGATTTTCTTGATTAACTAAGAGTGACTTACTTGAGTCATTTTCTTGATTAACTGAAAGTGACTTCCGTTAGTGATTTTCTTGATTAACTGGGAGTGACTTACTTGAGTGATTTTCTTGATTAACTGAGAGGGACTTACTTGAGTCATTTTCTTGATTAACTGAGAGTGACTTACTTGAGTCATTTTCTTGATTACCTGAGAGTGACTTCAGTTAGTGATTTCCTTGATTACCTGAGAGTGACTTATGTTTAAACTTAGTGATTTTCTTGATTATCTGAGAGTGATTAACTTGAGAGACTGTCTTGATTAACTGAGAGTGACTTATGTAAGTGATTTTCTTGATTACCTGAGAGTGGCTTATGTTGGTGATTTTCTTGATTAACTGAGAGTGACTTACTTGAGTGATTTTCTTGATTAACTGAGAGTGACTTTTGTTAGTGATTTTCTTGATTAACCGAGAGTGACTTCCTTGAGTGATTTTCTTGATTAACTGAGAGTGACTTCCGTTAGTGATTTTCTTGATTAACTGAGAGAAACTTATGTTAGTGATTTTCTTGATTAACTAAAAGTATCTTACTTGAGTGATTTTCTTGATTAACTGAAAGTGACTTATGTTAGTGATTTTCTTGATTAACTGAGAGTGACTTACTTGAGTGATTTTCTTGATAAACTGAAAGTGACTTACTTGAGTGTGATTTTCTTGATTATTTGAGAGTGACTTATGTTAGTGATTTTCTTGATTAGCTGAGAGTGACTTACTTGAGTGATAATCTTGCTTAACTGAGAGTGACTTCCGTTAGTGATTTTCTTTATTAACTGAGACTGAATTACATTAGTTATTTCCTTGATTACCTGAGAGTGACTAACTTGAGAGACTTTCTTGATTAACTGAGAGTGACTTATGTAAGTGATTTCCTTGATTACCTGAGAGTGACTTATGTTAGTGACGTAATTAGTGATTGTCTGGATTACCTGAGAGTGACGTAATTAGTGATTGCCTGGATTAACTGAGAGTGACGTAATTAGTGATTGTCTGGATTAACTGAGAGTGACGTAATTAGTGATTGTCTGGATTAACTGAGAGTGACGTAATTAGTGATTGTCTGGATTAACTGAGAATGACGTAAATAGTGATTGTCTGGATTACCTGAGAGTGACGTAATTAGTGATTAACTGGATTAACTGAGAGTGACGTAATTAGTGATTGTCTGGATTAACTGAGAGTGACTTACGTTAGTGACGTAATTAGTAATTGTCTGGATTAACTGAGAGTGACTTACGTTAGTGACGTAATTAGTGATTGTCTGGATTAACTGAGAGTGACGTAATTAGTGATTAACTGGATTAACTGAGAGTGACGTAATTAGTGATTGTCTGGATTAACTGAGAGTGACTTACGTTAGTGACGTAATTAGTAATTGTCTGGATTAACTGAGAGTGACGTAATTAGTGATTAACTGGATTAACTGAGAGTGACGTAATTAGTGATTGTCTGGATTAACTGAGAGTGACTTACGTTAGTGACGTAATTAGTAATTGTCTGGATTAACTGAGAGTGACTTACGTTAGTGACGTAATTAGTGATTGTCTGGATTAACTGAGAGTGACGTAATTAGTGATTGTCTGGATTAACTGAGAGTGACATAATTAGTGATTGTCTGGATTAACTGAGAGTGACATAATTAGTGATTGTCTGGATTACCTGAGAGTGACGTAATTAGTGATTGTCTGGATTAACTGAGAGTGACATAATTAGTGATTGTCTGGATTAACTGAGAGTGACGTAATTAGTGATTGTCTGGATTAACTGAGAGTGACGTAATTAGTGATTGTCTGGATTAACTGAGATTAACTAACTTTCTTGATTCCCTATCCTTTGATGATTTCTCCTCTCCATCCTCTGATGACTCGGTCTGTTGAGATATGTACTCCTCCATGGCCTTTTCAAACTCTTTCTTTGCTTCTGCAGCCTTCTCAATCCATTCCTATAATCATAGGTAATCAGAGATTACACAGAGCTCACCTCAATGAATGTTGTCTTATAGTAAGGCAAAGTCCCACACCAAACTTATAATCTAGTAGTGTGCATCCCTAGATGCAACATTAATTCAATTTTGGTCTAATAGGGCTTAGTTACTTGGGAATGGACTTACCTAAAAACTTTACTAGTCACTCATGCAGAAAATGTAAATCAAATCCAGCATCTAAAGCAACTCTGGAAGTGTGCATCCTTTGATGCATCATCCATGCAAGTTTGGTCCAGGTAGGCAAATTGTTTCTTTAGAATGAACCTGCTCCAAAAACTTTAATCTGGTCATTCATCCAGAAAATATAGGTCAGATCCCACATCTGAAGCAGCTTTGGTAGTGTCCATCCTTAGATGTATCATCCATGCAAGTTTAGTTAACATAGGGCTTATAGTTACTTAAGTATGAACCTGCTCCAAAAACTTTTAACCTGGTCTCTCACCAGAAATGTAGGTCAGATCCACCATCAGAAGCAAGCCCAGTAGTGTGCATCTTCAGATGTATCATCCATGCTAGTTTGGTCAATACAGGGTTTTAAGTCAGAGCTTTTAGTCAGAAATGATACCTACTCCAAAATCTTAAACCTGCTCAAAAAATTAACCTGGATATTCTTTAGCTGAAATTGCAGCATCTGAAACCTTGAATGGTACAATGAATCATACTAGAAGCATCTTCCATGCATGGCTGATTAATATAAAGCATAGATGTACTTTGAAAAGAAATCTCCTTAAATAACTTTAACCTGGGACTGATGGCAAAGGTATAAGATACCCTCCACCAAACTTCGTAAGGTGAGCCAAAAATCAAATGAGTACCATGTGTTCTTGTAAATTCATAGGACTTATGAATTCAAGGACAGTAATGATTGAAGGTAACTTGTAGGTGACCTCTGTCCCAGGCATACAGTAGCTTTAATCAAAAGGTCTAATTCTAATTTTTTGGAGAATAATGTCCACTAGATTTTTTTTAAAATCTTGACTTTTAACTTGTTGACCATATTCTTTTACAGGTCATATTTTAGCCTGATCATAATAAACCTACTGTTTTGTCTCCCATGTCTTTCCACATTTCTCTGGCTTTTTTATCCAAGTCTGTACAGCTCAGTTGTGGGTTTTGTTTTTTGATATCCTTCCTATTGGCTCTGAACCACAGCAAGTAAGCACCCAGAGGTCTATTGTATACTGAAAACTTTTTTGTATCAGCCAGATCTTCTTTCTGAAAGTATGTCAACATGTATATTCAAGTAAGGCCTAAATATATGTTTGTTTTTAAACAGAACAAGCATTCTGAGAGTATTGCATTAGCAATACTAGTCCCCTACCGGCAAGTGTAATCTGGTTCCCGTTAAGAATTGAAAATGCCATGATTCCGTCAAAAATTAATGAAGTGGGACGAAATGCAAACTTGATCTATAACTAATCAAGGTAAAGCCACATACCAAAAATCAGCTCAATATCTACAAGCGTTTAGAAGAAAATTGCGGAAAACCCTTAAAAATTGAAAAGGCCGTAATTCCGTCAAAAATCAATGAAGCGGAACGAAATGCAAACTTGATCTGTAACTTATCAAGTTACACTCACATACCAAAAATCAGCTCAATATCTGCAAGCGTTGAAGAAAAAAGTGCGGAAAACCAAGTGGGACAGACTGACAGAGGGACAGACAGACAGACGGACAGACAGACAGACAGAGGGACAGACAGACAGACAGACGGACAGACTCAAAGGAAACCTATAATCCCCTCCGGTTTCACCGGTAGGGGACTAAAAACAAGAGGCCCATGGGCCACAAGGCTATCCTGAGTAATCATGACCGTTCTAACTTGTTCTACAGCAGATTCTTTTTCCTATATATTCCTATGTAAAATTTGATCACCCACTGTAGACTCACCCTATCCCCTTGGTCATGATTTAAACAAACTTGAATCAACTCTATCTAAGGACTTTTTTTTAATAAATATGAATAATCATGCATCTGCTGTTCCTGGGGAAAAAATTTAAGATTTTTTTTCTAGGTACTCCTATGTAAAACTTTGATTGCCCCTACGGACCTCACCCTACCCCCAGGGGTCAGAATTTGAGCAAACTTGAATCTACATTACCTGTGAATGCTTCAATATAAATATGACTATTCATAGCTTTGTTGTTCTTGAGAAGATTTTTAAAGATTTTTCCTATTTATACCCATGTAAAACTTTGATCACTCATCTTTTCTGGCTTAGGGATTCTTGAGAAGAAAATTTTTAACTGACCCCATCCAATTTTTAATTTTTCTTAATTATCTCCCTTTGGAAGAGGGAGTGACCCTTCATTTGAACAAACTTGAATCCATCTTCACCCATGGATACTCTGTGCCAAGTTTGGTTGAAATGGCTAGTGGTTCTGGAGAAGAAGAGAGAAGAAGAGATTGTGAAAAGTTTAAAATGACAACAATGACAGACAACAGAAAAATTTTGAACAGAACTAAAAAAGTGTATGTATGTAGGCATTTTTTGTTGGAAGTTACAGGGGCAATCATTAAATGTCAGCTCAGTTTGGAACTATGTAAAAGTACATAACCTTTTCTCCTCACATCAATACCTTTTCTTTTTGTTCTTGACCATTATCCATTTGCTGAAATCCACTGTGTGACACTTTACCAAATGAAGTCTGCTCTCTTCCCCTAATAAACAAAACACCTGGGACAGGTGAAGCCTGCTGCCCTTCTGAGACACCTGAAGCAGGTGAACTTTGTTCAGCTCCTTTGAATGATGAAACATTTGAGGCAGGTGTAGTCTGTCCTTGTAACAATGAAACACCTGACACAGGTGTAGTCTGTCCTTGTAACAATGAAACATCTGACACAGGTGTAGTCTGTCCTTGTAACAATGAAGCACCTGACACAGGTGAAGTCTGTCCTTGTAACAATGAAACATGTGACACAAGTGAAGTCTGTCCTTGTAAAAATGAAACACCTGACACAGGTGTAGTCTGTCCTTGTAACAATGAAACACCTGACACAGGTGTAGTCTGTCCTCTTAACAAAGAAACACCTGACACAGGTATAGTCTGTCCTTGTAACAATGAAACACCTGACACAGGTGTAGTCTGTCCTTGTAACAATGAAACACCTGACACAGGTGAAGGTTTTTCTCTTAACAATGAACTAATTGATGCAGGTGAAACCTCTCCTTTTAATAATGAAACACTTGATATAGGTGTAATCTGCTGTCCCCTTTTTGTCAATGTCCCAGTTGAGGCAGGTAAAGTCTCTTGTCCTCCTCTAATCACTGAAAACGCTGTACTAGGAGAGGTTAATACAGGTTGGCTAGAAACCGGGGCAGGTTGACCTAAATTTGGTAAGACTCTGAATCTATCTGCTGCAGGAGAACTCTGGATCTCGGATCTAGTGAGTAGATTAAGTGTTGCTGGTTGGAATAATCCAGACTTCTGGGGACGTACAAGAATTGAGTTTGGAGTGCTTCCCTTTTGTATGTATAAGGTACTTCCTCCTTGTCCTGTGTTAAATAAGCCAGTCGGTGGATCTATATTTTTCACACCCTGTGCAGAACTTAATCTGAATGGTAGTGACCTTTGAACTTGATTTGCCCCTGTGGTAGTAGTCTGTTTTCTTATCACTATGTGTTTCAATGTGGTCAGTAGTGAAGTTTTAGCTACATTAACACTAGCTCTCTTTGTGTTTGCAGTTGGATTTCCTATCACTGCAGCACTACCCACTGTATTCTGAAAATGAGTTGATGGACTCTGATAAATATTTGGAGATGTGAATGAACTTCTCATAACTAGATCATTTGTCACAGACTGAGGTAAACTTATGTCTCCAGAAGAATTGGAATTTATATTTGTTACTGTAATATTCTCAGCAACTGAATAACTATCAACAGGTTCTTGTTTCACTTCTGTGGATACGTGGGAGAGGTTATCTCCCCCTGAATTCAGTGATTCATTGTCTGTAGTGGAAACCCTGCCTTCTCCTTGCTGGGTATATCCAGGATTTGGTGAGATACTATCCATAGAGTATGGTTCTTCTTTTCCCTCAATTTCCTGAGGAAATAAATTAATAATCTTAGAATTTTCTTAATTAAAAAAAAATTCATGGCCCTTAGCTTTGTTACTAACGTAAAGTAGATAAATTACAAAATATACCTCTATCTAGGTTTATAAATATATCTTGACACTGACCTCTTCACTTTCAAGGTCACTGTCACCACTTGAGTCATCATCAACAGAATCAATTACTTCATCAACTGTCAAAAGAAAACAAGGTCATAGACTGTCAAAAGAAAACAAGATCATTCAAGATTGTCAATGAATATCAAAAAAAAAAAAAAAAACTGGCCAAAGAATGCAATGCCAACAATGAGGCCAAAGTTTTTTTTTCACTTGGTTTACGATTCCGCCGACCCTAATTTTCACAAATCATGAAAATAAAAATAATGTCTTTTTCCGACATATTTTTCCGGATTTTTCTCAGCTGAACTGGTGGGTTTTAAATTTTAGAATGCATCTTAGTCAAATAAGCGCTTACAAATATATGAGACCTTTACAAACATTTAGGTGACCGTAAATAAACACATGTGCTAACCAAAAATGGCGGCTCTGTCATGTAACAAGGTAATTCCTCACTGAAAGCAATGACACACACTTAAAGAACTTTTTCTGCATGGAAAATGAATAAAATCTTGGATAAATGATCCCTTTCTCCAATTGCAATGTCTCAATTGGCTAAATTCATACCGTAATATTGGAGAGTGTATGCCCAACCCTGATCGACCTAGCAGACACGGATACACCTATAGATAATAAGGATTTATCAGTGCCTTCTCAGGGGCCGAAGTTCGGCCCATTCCCAATTGAAAATGAGTTCAGTTTTTCCCAATTTGGCAGTATTTTTTCTCAATTGGTGAACAATGCTTTTATTTTTAATTATCTTGGGAAAACACTAAGTAAAATTGTCAGATTGTCTGTAATTTTAACTCATTTAGCAAAGCTACAGTCATAACACATGTTTAAAAACACTGTAAAAACATCGCCAACTTTTAATCCGAATTTCCTCTGTTTTTCTAAAAATGATGATATTGTGTAATTATATAGATTTATTAAGTTATTTCCACCTACTTATTTGATCTGCGAGTTAATGGTAAGGACTTTAGGCATTATTTCAGTTAGAAAAATATATTTTTAATGCATTAATACATATTAAAAGAGGACTTTTAGAAAATGCGTACTTAGTATACTTTTTTGCAGGAGGTTTATAATCTCCAGAAACAGATACTATAATGATCTAAATTGAAATCTCATACACACATGTACATGTACTACCCAAGTTGTATAAATGCTTTATACTCATTGAAGTCCATTTTACTTTTATTAGTCTATTATTCATAATTGATTTTGTACGAATAAGATGGATCATATTTAATTGTCATTTGGTTGCCCAAATTAGAGTTCGTGCTGAAATGTTAAATGAATTACCCCTGAGTACATGATTTAAGCAACATTTTAAAAAAAAATTGCAATTTCATCAAACAGCCGATAATTTTTTCCCAATTCCCCAAAAATGGTGTTTCCCAAAATAGGCTGATAAATCCATGGATAATAGTTAGGCCAGTTTAGTGTTGAGAGATACATCTTAATAGTTGAAGCAACGTTGACTGGTATTTCACTGGATAAATTCAAATGTGTATAAAACATTTGTTACTTTATTGAAGTAAATTCAATATACAAATCTTTGCAAATTTCATACTCAATTGAGATTAAAGTCCTTTGAATTACTAATAAATAATGAGCATTGCCTACTGTACAGGTACATAACAAACATTTAAAGAGGGACTTGATTGAGAAATTATTAGGCTTTTTTGCCGCAGGTTGAACATTAAATTTGATAGCTGCATGATCAAATTATTATAACCTTTATTTCAACGTCAATTACTTTTAATATTGTTAAACACTTCAATTGTATTTTTCTTCAATCTAAATTTAACTTGAATTTGGATCCTTATTTCTAGTTTGTGGGGATACCAAGGTTTATAACACATCACATATCACTGAAGAGCACAAAATGTTGAACATCATGAACCAAGCACTGATTGACAAACAAAAATCAGAACTATATGTAAATGAAAATGACATTCAGTCTAAAGTTAGAAATGAATTAAAATTAAATAAAAGGAGTTATGTGATCTAGACAATAAAACTTAAAAGTACTATTGACGTGTATTATTTATATTAAAATAAACATTGCTGTTATTTTATAATGAAATTGTTGAATCCAAAATTATTTTTATTTTTATTTTTTGACCACCCAATGCATTTTTTTGAGACAGAAAATCGTAAACCAAAAAAAATAAAAACTTTGGCCTGAATGCCTTTTTTTAGTCAATGAAACAATATGTGGTCTTTATTCACTGATCTTCTTTCAACTGATATATATATGTAAATAAGTAATTCCTATCAAGAGGCACATGGGCCACATCGCTCACCTGAACATATTGGCTGGGAAAAAGCACAAATCAGTTTAGTATTGAAAAATTTACATAGGGGCCCCAAGGGGGGATTGAATTTTACACTACCTGAGGATACCTTCATATCAATATAACTAAATATAAATGGCTTTGCTGTTCTTAAGCAAAATTTTTTAAAAAGATTTTTTTCCTACATTTTCCTTTGTAAAAATTTGATCCCCCATTGTTGGCCTACCTACCCCTGGGGGTCTTGATTTGAACAAACTTGAATCTACACTACCTGAGGATGCTCAAAGCACCTGGCACTAGAGGTGAATGTCACAAGTCTTTCAAATGAGACCTTAAAAACAAAAGTCCCATGTCAAGGTACGCATTAGCAGGATAAAGAACCTAAACTGCTCAATGGCCTTGATCAAGAGCCAAATTAATTAAAATTTGAGGTATATGAAGATGTCTTGTATGAGTGAAATTCACAAGGAACTAAAAAACAACAAAGATTCGATCGATCATGCAAAAGATATGGAACATTCCTAGTGTCATCTTCAGAAACCCACAGTTGATAACACTTAACTCCTCTCATCACTTTCTATTAAGACCACAGAGATAGTTATTCCCATTCTAATGCAATTAATGCCTTTAATTTGATGTTTACATATTTTTTTGTTGCGTTTTGCTAGATGAAATATATCATGAAGGATTGTGTTTTTGACTGGCTTTATTACGATGTCACAATCAAAAGTCTTCGCTCATATTCATTTAACTGCCTTAAACATCAGTCCATCAGCCACTCAAAATGTGTTTTACAAAACAATTGAATTAGAATGCAGTCTTACCCTCTAACTGCAGTGACATGTCCTCCCTTTCTCCCGCGGGTATGGGTGGAATCACATCTGAAATGTTATAAACTTTCTCTGATTGCTTTTATACAACAGAATAAAGATAACAATTTTGCCAGCTTTAGTGTATACTACAGTTTTCTTGCATAATAACTGGCAATGGGAATATTTTTAATACATTTCATGCTCATTTATCTTTGATTTCAAACATGAAAGATAGTCTCAGCAGGGTTTGACATTAACTTTTATGAGTACTAGACCAGTCGGGCTACTTCCAATAATTTTTACTAACCCTGACCATAAAATCACTAGCCCTGACCAAACTTGAAAATTGACTTTTTATAAACTGCTAATTATAATGGGAAAAAAGTTTCGAAACCATACTTCGATAAAGATAACATCTCTCGCACCTGTTAAGATATATTTTGACAGACTCTTCCATAGGTCGCTAGCAAGTCGGGTTAAGCGTAACATACAAATATTTTAAGACTAAATTAAGTAACAATCAATGAACTTAGTATAAAAATAATTACCCTAAATATAAATTCATTGTGAATTAAAGAATATACTATTCAATAATTTCATACTAATTTTAAATACTGAACGAAGCTAGTTCCCATCGCAACTTGTCTATTACAGCCAGGCTAAAAATAGCGATTGTGTCATGCGGGGAAGTTTTCTTTTACAGAGTGATGGGTGATGTTTACTATCAGATAAATAAGAATTAAAAAAAAAAAAAAATAAAAAAAAAACTTTTTAGAAATATTTATTTGAAAGACTGAAATGAGTGTTATCATTTATTTCATACACGCGACCAGTCGGTCTAGTTCACGAACATTTTACACGACCGGACCACTCGTTTACTAGACAGGGTCGGTCGGACGTGCCTTAGTGTCAAACCCTGCTCAGAAACAGGGGTTTATTAATGAATAGCCCAGAAAGTTTACCTAATCAGAAAATGATCATTAATGACTTACCCACTATACTTTTTCTGTAGACAGGATCAGACATCTGTACATCATGTGTTCTACAAGTATACAGAATACACAGTTTATCTGATGTAGGCATTGAATAAAGGGGGATTATTGTTATTTCATTTAATAAAGTGACACAGTGTTAAAAAGGTGAACATTATCTTTAAAAAATTTTTTGGAATGAAAAAGTCTGTCAACATTTCATTGTAATGGTAAATTTTCTTTTTTTACATCACTGGTAAGTAAAATAGAAACAACTTATTTAAGCCTGTAGCACTATTTGCGTGATTGTTGAGCATTAATCTACATACCTTTCTAGAGGACAAATGCCCCTGCTCCTACAATAGACCTCATGCACCTGAATCAGATGATTGGCTAACTCACTGTCATTAAGCCAGTCACATCGTCCAATCAGCTGCTTCCAGGCAATGGCTGCTTCTCCAATCAAAATATTTCTATACTCGTTCATGTTAGGGGTACCTGTCTCATTATCACAGTCCACACAAGAGTCTTGGTGACTCAGATCAGACGGAGCAGCTGCATCGTTACTGACAGTTTTTGGAGGAAGGTTTTTATATGGAATTTCTGCTACCTCACATTTCTTGTTGTCTGTTAATACGGAACTGTTTTCTTTAACTGATTGGTCAGGTTGACAGCCATTGCTTGCTGATATCACATTAGTGGCCTCTTCTGACTGGCTGTCTAGTATTGTTATATTGGTGGCCCTAATACTGCTGTTGCTGTATTTTTTACTAAGTTTGGCTTCTACACTCAAATTTATCATGAGTGAGGACAATGTATTTTTTCCCAGTGGTGAATTTTCGTACCATATTGTGTCAGATGGGTCGTATAATTTCCTCGGTCGCTGCCAAAAGTAGGGGTTGATTGGGTTTAGTTTCGTCAAATATTTCTTAAAAGATGTCACTGGACACATGGGATTACCTGAAAAAAAAAACAAAAAAAAAATTAAAATACAATCCAAACTTTTCGAATTTCTTTAAATAATATATATGCTTCTTAGTCATGAATGCCACAATGATATTTTTTTTTCCTGAAGGTTTCAGTTAAGTTTACAGCTAAATTGGACATTACTAATAAGTAATATACATTCCTCACACTTTTTGCTATACTCTTGCTCATCATACGATCTATTAGGCTTACTCCCTGTAAAGTTCTGCAACAACCTGAGACAATAAAGGCGTTATTTTTATATACCGTACTTTTGGTTTCTGTCACACTATTAATTTATAAAGATTAATTTAAAAGTTATATTTTGCACAATATTTGACTGAAAAGGGTTAGTTTTGCACCATAATTCAAAAACTTTAAATTAGTTCTTGCATATTTAACTCTTAGTTGACAGTTAGGCTAATCTTTCACCTATCTGACTTGGTAAGGTAAGTCTAGCATCCATCACAAGGAAAAATTAGGGTGAGTGAATACAACTGTGAATTACAATATGAATAGAAAACAATTTTAAATTTTCCCTGTATTCATTTAAGATCACTAGACTTTGGTGTGGAATGGATGAAATAAATTGATGCTTTAACCCTTTTAACACTGAAGACCGATACATCAGTCTGATGAATTAATTTCGTCTTGCAACACGGTAAGCTTTCTAGGGCTTTAGTGTGTCATTTCAAGATTTTTTTCACTGCATGTGAACCACTGGATCTTAGTGTGACAAGACTTTGGACTTTGGCTACAATGATTGACTTTGGAGTCTCATTGTTTTTAGAAGTCCTACATACTTTACCAAATTTTCCCTAAAATGTCCTAAATTTTTCCAATTTTAGTGACCTATAGCATGTATAGTGTACCAGAAAGATGGGAAAAATTAAGACCTTCAAGATTAATGAACGACAAATTTGCACGGGAGATTAGTGTTAAACCTTCACCTACCTGGGTGGTCATACATTTAGATTCTGGATGTCATGGTATTACCCCTCAACCCTCTGTAAAGGGAGGAACCCAATTTTTTTTTTACTGTTCGCTGCTATTTCAATTCTTTGTGACAACCCTTAGTTGTAATGGGGAGGATCTATAATGAATCACAGTGTTAAACTTCACCTACCAGGGTGGTCATACATTCTGGCTGGTTCTGTGTCCAATTTTTCTCGACTTTCCTTTTTAGAGTATCTCCCTTTAACGGTCACATATTCCCTCCCCGAGGCGTCTTTGGAGAACACAAAATCCTCCTTTCTTACCCTCCGCAAGTGCTCGCGTCCTCTGTCACAAAAATAGTAAATAAACTCAAAAATGGTCTTTCTCTGGAGCCCTTTTGGGGAATCTGTCGAGAACACTGTGTTATATAACTTCGCTACATCATCGGGGTGTATCGATATTCTCCCTTTCTGAAACTCTATCTCCTCCTTCCTTAGTTTAACTAATACCTCCTTAAACATTTTATTACAACTGGAATATTTTTCATTACGTATTATATCTTCATTTCTTAACTTCAGAAAATGTTTTTGTAGACCGTAACGAATCGACATTACGGATGTCCCAGCATAATGCTTCCCGTCCGGTTTCTTCATTTCGAGATAGAAATTTGTCAACAAATTGTTCAGTTGTTCAGAAGAATATGTTTTCTCTACGCTCTGTTGTAGATTCTTTTCCAGAAGGTAGGTTCGGAATATTGAAAGTGATGTTCTGATACGTCGTTTAGTTGGATACATATAAACACTGTTGTCTGCAATTAATTCCTGCAGAGCTTGATCGCTAGTCACCATATCTATTTCTCCATGTAGCGCTGCCATATTGGTTCGTCTGCTAGGTATCAAGTGAATTCGTCCCCTCGCGAAAATTATTGAGCGTTAAAATTTCTCATTATTCGTTCAAAATATGTTATCCACAACCTACTCTTTTCTTGAAAAATATTTTTGAAAAATACCTAATATTAATAACGTTCGGTATATCAGATTTATTCAAAGAGAATCAGTGATCTCTTGAACCAAACTGCCAAGGGCCTGAACTGTCTAGTAACCGTCAAATTTTATTAGCTAAGTCGTACAATAAAAGTGATGATTGTTTACGATGTAGACTAAATATCGCGCATTCAGACAGGCATGCATCTAGTTTACAATGCCGAAAGGTAAAATATCTTACGTTAAAAAGGAGGAATCCATACCAAAATTTTATTTCATAAATCTTTCAGACATCCATGTTATTGTTAAGTTATGGTTTCAGCATTGAAAGACTGATATTAATTAGCTCTTAATTATTTTTAGAATTTTTCCAATTTTTCATAGAAAAATTAAGATGCTTTAGAGTTTAAAAAAAATACTGTTAATAAATCCATAATACAAATATCTAATAAAATATGTAAAGAAAAGCCAGATAGACAATTTATTATTATTTTTTTACTAAAAAGTATTTATGAAAATAAAACATATTATTTGTGAATATTTTATAGAATTGCATATACGACAGCCAACTGCTTACTGCCAACTGCTCACTGCTTATAGATGATATTGCCTATTTTGTTATATTAATCAATAGCTTTAATACGCATGCTTGAATAAATCAAATGATAGCAAGCGGTAGTTAGATTCTGCCGCCTAAATTTAAAAAGTTAATATATTTGAATGATTTTTTCATATCTAAATAGAAATTTATGTGAATTTTCATCATAAAACATATTTTTTTTTTTTTGGAAAAAAGAGAGATAAGTCCATAAATTTTGTAAAACTTGTGATTTTCACTATAGAAATCAAGGCAAAACGGAAAATATTCTTACCCCCCCCCCCCCTGTGAAACAATTTCTTTTACAGGTATTATGAGTTATTTCACAAATTCAAACCAATGGTTTTCTTGTTTCAGGGGAGTGGAGTGTTGGGGGGGGGGTGTTGTTGAACATAACATATGTTTACAGACTAAAAGCAGCAAAAATAGACATTTTCTTGCCAATTTTAACAAGAATACAAATTTAAAAAATGCACTTTATCAATCTAATATGTTAACTTTTACATAAGTTTAACATACGGAGAAATCTGAAGGTTATTTATCTATTCCCATGAGTATTTGAAAATCTGGCTTTGATTTAAAACCCGATTTCAACTGATAAAATTTTCCACCTTAAGAGGAGTTGTATATAAGGGCAAGTAACTTTTTGGCACTGGTTTTAAAATTATTAATCCATTACTAATAAATCTTCGAATTCTTTGCATTCAAGTAAGTTTTAATGGCCAAACTGCCATTAATATTGTTGAATTAAATGGATGTAAACTGTAGGCGAGAATCGAAAGTTAGTGTGCATAGTTCTTACAATAATAAGAAGAATTGGCAGATTCAGGAATTTTTAAACTGTGAAGGTGATGATGGAGTATATCGGAAGATGGAGTATTATTTCCTCATAAAAAAATCTAAATCCCACATTTTCTTGCAGACAGATGATTCGATTTTTTTTTGACGGAGGGGGGGGGGGGGAGGGGGGAGGTGTTCACACACGACAAAAGAACAAACTTTAAGTAGGGTCTTGGGTAACATTTGTTGGTTTATGTATTTATACTAGAAATATTACTAAAACTCATAATATTAATAACATAACTTTTGCCTAGGGTAAAACATTTAGTACATGTAATATCTTTTAGTGTTTCTTTTTACCCTATATAAAAAGTATACGTGTATTCGTGTCGTATTTTGTATTTAAATCGAATTAATACCTTGGATAATGTCAGGTCTGTAGAAGCATTGGTGGTGGTGGCTGTGGAGGGGGGGGGGGGGCTAGGGTATTCACAATGAATTACCAGCATATACTATATAGTTATGTTCTCTCACTAATGACGCCTGTGACCATTTTATTTACTTGTCAATGGATTTTTATCCCCCCCCCCCCCCTGAAATTGCTTCCTTGCCTAGGATCTACTATTTTTGAATAGAGTAAAATGCATTTTATTATGATTTTCAGTAATATTTCTCGTATAAATAAATATATAAGAAATGTTACCCAAAGATTCTACTCAAAGTTTGCCCCCCTTTTAATTGACGTTATATATATACGTTTTTAATACCCCCCCCCCCCCCCCCCGTCAAAAAAGCTTTTAAATTATTTTCTTGCAATGCGACGCGAAAAAAAGCGTAATAACGCGAAGTGAAAAAAGACTATTACGCCCTTTAAAAAGGCGTTAATAGGCCTTTTTTAAATTACTATCATTTGCAGTTCTTTACTTGCTATGATATGATTTGTTCAAGCATGCGCATTAAAGCTATTAAGATAACAATATCATCTATAAGCAGCAGTTGCAGTTGGCAGTAAGCAGTAGGCAGTTGGTAGTAAGCAGTTGGCTGTCATATATGGAATTCCATAATATTTTTATGTGACAGGATATAGTTTTATACACTTTCCTTATTAATAATCAATAATAGTAGTTCACGTTTCATTCCAAGTTTTACTAACCAATAAACCTGTTATATTTCAATTAGTCACTTAAGTGACTTACAAAACCAAGAAGTCTAATAACAAGAGTTTGCAAATTAACAAGCATTTATTATGGCCACAAATATATTTTGATATCAGCACAAAATATTTACGTTTATATATTTACAACCCGGCCAAAAGGAAGGTTACTGAAAGTTGAGTTGCTGTTACAGTGATATAAAAAAAAATCTTGTTTAAAGTCAGCATTTCTTTAATTCTATGGTCGTTATAATGACCTTGTTAGCAAATATAACTTATCAATGCCTCATATTTTGGCTGAACTTTTCATGCCAATAGTTAAGACTTTATTTTTATACTATTTTTTACTATTCAATACTCCGTCTTTCTGATCAATATGTAGGGCTCTCAGAGTATGCTTACTCCACCTAGGCACCTGATCCCACCTCTGGAATTCTAATTTCCAGGGGTCAGTGTTTTATGCCCTGTTCACAGATTTGTATTGGAGCGATCACAGTTTATTATCATTACCTTTTTCATTTTAAAACGAGGCAGGCTACTGTTTTACCCAAATTATAGAATTACCTCTCTTTATTTTCCCAAAGAAGTGATGTTTTATGAAAATTCATATAAATATCTAAATAAATATGAAAAATCATTCAAATGTGTTAACTTTTGAAAAATGACTTGGAGGTAGGCGCGAGAACAATGCTATGGTTCGCAGTTCTTTCATAGTTTGTCATTACAATTCAATTTTTTATGACATTTTTGAAACACACAATTCACATTATGCAATATTCAATTTAAAAACTCACAAAATTGTTAAAGGCCGAGCTTGACCTACTTGAAAATCCGGTGGTAGTGCAATTAAGCAAATTTGGTGTAGGGCGGCCCTTATTGCTGCAGCTAAGTTAAAAATAAACTCCAGCATGCTGATAACAGAAGACAGCACACGTGTTACTTGGCTAAACAAGTAACCCACAGTGATAATCTTTACAGTGTATATATACAAAGCAGGATTTACAAGACATACTGCTGATTTATTGATTGACTATATAATTGATTATATATATATATATATATATACAATTCTGATTAAAATAAAAATATTATAACTTGTTTCAATTACAATATTGATACTCAATGTACAAAATAATCTCGGCTCAATATTATGACAGTTCATTTCAATAAAAGCTTTCTACATATTCACACCAGATATTATCTCTGTATTTAAATGTTAGTTTTTTATACACTTTCTTCCCTTTCTGGCTTCGTGGCGCATTTGGGTTCCTTGAATGATACACTGAGGTGTGCTCCCTGTCAACGTTTTCATTCCAGTGGCACACAGCTAAGTTTGATCTCAGTTTATATTGGTTTTCTCCAAAAACTATTCTCTTGTCCTGGAATATGTTCATGACATTATTAAAACTCTCTACATAAAAAGTATCTTTACCCAAAACATAATCCTCAGGATATTTATAAATAACTGATCCTTTCAGTGCATTTTCTAAAAGTTTTTTGGCAATTTTACTTGTTAACACAACTCGGGAAGGCTCATAATTTTCATCTTTTCTGCATCTCGACTCTGGATGACACTTTTCATGCGAGTTTTCATAGTGAGGAATTATATTCTCTATAAATTCTTGTAGCTTTTTTGGATTTCCTTCACAATGCCTAACAGCTCAATGAATATGAGTGGCAATCGGTTCGATCTTGTCCACTAGCTGCTCACTCCAGGTAAAACCCTCAGACTTCTTACTGCCACTGGAGATATTTTTAAGTGATTTTTTCAGTGCTTTCACTGAGTGCCATAAATCATTCTGATTTGTTGTTTCTTCTGAATCTTTAATAAATTTGTTGATACTAAGATTTCTGTCATGAGAATGAATCTTGATGGTGACATCTTGCGAGGTGAAATTTTCATAAATAGCTTCTGTGCCAATTCTTTCATGTCGTTGAGAAACGGGATCTTGCTGTTTTGTGACATGGACACAATCCAAAACTTTATGACATTTCTCACCTATGGCCACTACAGATGTATCTTTTGCATTTTTTCGCCATCCATGTCTAGCATCTGTTAAAATATTGATGCCATCCAAGTCTTCATAACTCCCGATTTCTTCGTGTAGAGCATCTTGGACGGAATCTTGATATTCGGCCTCAACAGAATTTTTATATTCTTTAAAAAAATGTTTTCTCCTGGCCCAGTTGATGCATCCTAATCCACTTCCATTGGAAAATCTTGTGTAATGAGATGGTAGCATTCCACTACACATGAGACCATGACATATTCTGTGGTTGACCAGATATTCATCATTTGGCAGATATGATGATGATGACCAGGAATAACTGTGTATTTTATCCTTGGAGCATTGGAGGCGC